GACTGTGGTGGGAGAATCTTTTTCAGCACAAGATCACCCGTCTGAAAGCTTCAAGGGCGCACCTTCTTATCATAAGCTTTCTTCATCCGGCTCTGGTACAAACGACCATATGCAATTGATGCTAGCCTCTTTTCGCCCATCATACTAAGTTGATTCAATCTATTCTTGATCCATTCTGCCTCATCAAGTTTTACGTCAACCAAAACCCTTAAAGAAGGAATCTCAACCTCTAGCGGTAGGACAACTTCCATACCGTACACTAGTGAGAAAGGAGTTGCCCCGGTTGATGTGCGTACCGTCGTACAATAACCGTGTAAGGCGAAAGGTAACATTTCATGCCAATCTTTGTATGTAACAACCATCTTTTGTACTATCTTTTTTATGTTCTTGTTGGCCGCTTCAACAACGCCATTCATCTTCGGCCGATAGGGCGATGAGTTGTGATGTTCAATCTTAAAGCTCTGGCATAGCTCCTTCATCATCTTATTATTTAGATTCGAACCATTGTCAGTAATGATTCGCTCGGGGATTCCATATCTGCAGATGATGTCCTTCTTTATGAATCTTGCCACCACTTGCTTGGTCACATTAGCATACGATGCTGCCTCCACCCACTTGGTGAAGTAATCGATGGCTACCTGAATAAAACGGTGTCCGTTGGAAGCAGTGGGCTCGATCTTTCCAATCATATAGATGCCCCACATGGAGAACGGCCAAGGGGATGACATTACATTCAACGGGCACGGCGACACATGAATCTTATCAGCATAAATCTGGCATTTATGGCATCTCTTCGCGAATTTGAAACAATCCGACTCCATTGTCAGCCAAAAATAACCAGATCGTAGAATCTTTCGAGTCATGGAATGTCCGCTGGCATGCATGCCAAAAGTACCCTCGTGGACTTCTTCCATAAGCAAACCTGCTTCTTTTTCGTCCACACACCTGAGTAGTACCAGATCATGATTCCTCCTATACAGCACACCATCTGGGTTGATGTAGAAGTTTCCAGACATTCTCCTAAGAGTTTTCTTATCCTGGGTCGATGCCCCTGGAAGATACTCTTGGTTCTTAAGGAAATTCTGGATGTCATGAAACCACGGTTTACCATCGGAAGCTCCCTCAATAGCAAATATGAAAGCGGGTCTGTCGAGGCGTGAGATAACAATCCTTGGCGCTTCATTCCAAAAATTGACCTTGTACATTGAAGATAGTGTGGGCAAAGCGTCTGCCATTTGATTCTCCGCTCTTGGCACATGGTGGAAGTCTATACGGTCGAAAAATGGTAACAGTCTTCTTGCATAATCCTTGTAAGGGATCAGATTGGGCTGTCGAGTTTTCCATTCTCCTTCAATCTGATTAATAACTAGAGCTGAATCACCATATACATCAAGATTCTTGATTCTCATATCAATAGCTTCTTCCAACCCCATGATACATGCTTCGTACTTGGCCTCATTGTTGGTACAAGGGAAAGTTAATCTGGCAGTGAAAGGGATATGAATTCCATGAGGAGTTGTGATAATTGCCCCAATTCCGCTGCCATACGAGTTAACTGCACCATCGAATATCATTTGCCATTGAGATCCCCTCTCTGGTCCTTCAGTGGGTAATGGCTCATCACAGTCTTTTGCTTTCAAGTACATAATATCCTCGTCAGGAAATTCAAATCTCATCGGTTGGTAATCATCAATTGGTTGTTCAACAAGGTATTCTGACAGAACACTCCCTTTAATGGCTTTTTGGGAAACGTACTAGATGTGGTATTCTGTCAATACCATTTTCCATCTAGCAATCCTTCCACAAAGTGCCTGCTTTTCAAAGATATATTTAATCGGATCCATCTTCGAAATTAGCATGATTGTATGATTGAGCATGTACTGTCTTAAACGTTTGGCCGCCCAAGCGAGTGCGCAACACGTTTTTTCAAGCATGGAGTAGCGGGACTCACAATCTGTGAACTTTTTACTCAAGTAATAAATCGCATGCTCTTTCCTTCCCGTCTCGTCGTGTTGACCGAGAACACAACCCATACTATTCTCCAGAATCGTTAAATACATGATTAATGGTGTTCCATCCACTAGGGGTATCAGTATCGGAGACTCCTGTAAGTACTGTTTTATCTTATCGAATGCTCTTTGACAATTTTTGTTCCAGACCACCGCCTGATCTTTCTTTAACAGCTTAAACATTGGTTCACACGTGGCCGTTAGATGAGATATGAACCGAGCGATGTAGTTCAACCTCCCTAAGAAACCACGGACCTCTTTTTCAGTCTTCGGTGCTGGCATTTCTTAAATAGCTCTTATTTTTGCAGGATCTACCTCGATTCCTTTTCTGCTGACAATAAACCCCAAAAGTTTTCCGGATCGAACTCCGAAAGTGCACTTATTTGGATTCAACCTCAATTTGAACTTCCTCAACCTCTCAAATAGCTTCAATAGATTGACCAGATGTTCTTCCTCCTTCTGGGACTTCGCGATCATGTCATCAACATACACCTCAATCTCATGATGAATCATATCATGAAACAAAGTCACCATTGCCTGCTGATAAGTTGCCCCTACATTTTTCAACCCAAACGGCATCACCTTATCGCAAAATGTTCCCCACGGTGTCATGAATGTTGTCTTCTCCATGTCCTCTGGTGCCATTTTTATCTGATTATAACCGAAGAAGCCATCCATGAAGGAAAACACCGAGAATTGAGCCGTATTGTCAACCAATACGTCAATGTGGGGGAGCGGGAAATCATCTTTTGGGCTCGCCCTATTCAAGTCTCTATAATGAACGCACATCCGTACCTTACCATCCTTCTTAGGTACAGGTACAATGTTGGCGACCCATGGAGGGTAAGTTGTCACGGCTAAAAATCCAGCGTCCAACTGCTTTTGAACTTCTTCTTTGATTTTTACCGCCATGTCTAGTCTCGTCCTCCAAAGCTTTTGCTTGACGGGTGGACATTCTCCCGAAGTGGCAATCGATGAACCACAATGTCAGTATCAAGTCCGGGCATATCTTCGTAAGACCAAGCAAAGATGTCACTGTACTCTCGAAGCATCTCTATCAACCTTTGCTTGATGTCTTCTTGCAATGCAGCCCCTATCCTGACATTTCTAACAACCTCTTCAGAACCCAATTTGACGATCTCAATCTCTTCTTCATGAGGTAGAATGACCTTTTCTTCTTGTCTCAAGAGTCTAGCCAATTCCTCATGCAAGTCTTCATCCTCATCAATCTCTTCTTCAGCTTGGAATATCGGGTTATCAAAGTCGAAGCGAGTCATAGAAGATTCTTGGTCGGTGTCATCTGCAATGATATGAGACCTGCAATGAAAATGATTAAGTGCTTCAAATGATATGCAAACAAACACATTGCCATTTTATTGTTAAAGATAAAACAAGAAAAACAGAGATCTCAAAATTTGAATGGAAAAAACACCCTTTGATAAATAGATGAAACAATATTCAAACATAAACAAGACAAGCCCTGAAATAACAAACCACTATGCTCCGGGTAGAACATAGGGTCGTACAATAATTGAAAAACAAAGTATTATTGTTCATTGGTCACTTGGACAAATTCCTCACCCCCACATTTGAATAAGGCTGGATAGAATGCCCGCCAAGTTCAGATAAGGGAATGCTTCCCCCAACCATTGAAGGAAAGGCTCGACGAAGGGAGGGAGATGCGGCGGGGGAAGGAAAACGCTTTCAGAGATCGATATTTTTTTTTATTTTTCTTCGAAAACGAAGAAGGCCAAGGATGGCCTATGGTGCGTGTTATCTGAAGGGAACACGCTTTTTTCGACCGTGGTGGTATGATTGATTTTATTGCCGGGCCCTCTCCTCGTTCCGCCCGCAGGCCTATTGGGATAGCAGCCTTCGTTGCCTGCCCTTTATATCTCGGCCCAGGAAAGCGCTGGCAACAACAGAAAGGAAGGGGTCCATGTAGTGCGTCCGCCCCCTTCTTAGTCAATGGGGCAGCAGGTTCGGTTGTTAACTGACTGGTCGTAGGTTCAAATCCTACTTGGGGAGAATTTTTAGTTATCGCTTTTCTGACCTAGCGACCCCTGTCCCTTCCCTGAGTTTCTAAACTAGCAGAATCATGGGACATCAAAAGTGGAAATTTTATTGTGCTTTTTTTTTCTATTTCCTACTCCCTTTTTTAGTTGAGGAACATGGCTCGTTCATTCATTCACTTGCTCATGAACTCGCAGTCTCGCCAGAAGCGACTAGGGGGGAGCTGTCGTAGAAGCTTTGCCCTTTGTACAGAGATTGTTATGAACTGATTAAATGACTAGCGGAACGCTAGCTAAGCTAAAAAATAGTATTAGTTCCCAAAATAAGCTTTATTTTGGGTTTTTTTCCCTCCTTCTTAGAATCGGGGCCTCGGCCCGGGAAGGGGAGAGTGGCCGAGTGGTCAAAAGTGACAGATTGTAAATCTGTTGAAGTTTTTCTACGTAGGATCGAATCCTGCCTCTCCCACTTGTGTGTTGTAGACTTTAGAGAAGAGAAAGGAGGCATTCGTCAGCGCAGGAAGGCCCACTGAACGAAGCTCTTTCTTTTTTGTCGTGCCGTGAAGTGAAATTGTATCGTATGTTAGCTAGAGAGGTTGGTGAACTACTATGATCTATATATTCCCCAGCGATAAAAAATCCCAACGAGAATAGAAGCGACTCGCTTCCGTTGTAGTCGTCGTAGTCTTTTAGCGTAGTGGTCGACTTTCCTACACGCACGCGCCAGCCAGAATGCCTCCTTGGTTCTGGACGAAGCCAAGCCGATACATACGATAGGCGGAGGAAAGAACCCCATTTCATAGCGCTTGGGGAACGCTAGTTTGATCGAGGATTGGAGAGGAGAGGTGGAAGAAAAGGCTCAGGATGGATTTAGGAGTCTTTGTGCGAGCCGTATGCAGTGAGAGTCGCACGTACGGTAACGAGGGGGGTTCGCGTCTATACGTGTAGTGTGGTGGTTGGGCCTGCCCACCCTATTTCTTCAATGATCTATGGGTCTACTGGAGCTACCCACTTCGATCAATTAGCCATGATTTTGACTGGATACGAAATAACTGGTGCTCGATCTAGTGGTATTTTTATGGGGATTCTATCTATCGTTGTAGGATCCCTATTCAAGATCACTACAGTTCCTTTTCGGGCGGCTGTAGAACGGACGGCCGCCTATAGGTTGTTGGGTAGGGTGGGTGGTACTACTCAGATTGCGGCCAATCTTCCTAACCGCGCGCGGGCCGGGCTTAGTGCGCGTGAAACCCATCACTATCTCGTAAGGGCGTTGAGACCATAGCATGTTAAACGAAAGCGCCGCTTTCTCTGTAGTGTTGTCACACAGCTGCCCGCCTAGAAGAGCCACTCGCTCTATAGTGTTGTCACACAAGATAAGCACACCGCCCGCCAGCTGGCCGGGCGAATCAAAGTTATCTTCCGGTCAACTGTCCACCCAGTCAAGTGCAAAAAACATAGTTGAATCACGCAACCCACGCTGCTGGTGTGCTTCCTGCCCGTGAGGAAAGAAGAGCGACAAGGTTTAGTTCATATTTGACTGTTTGCAGCATGGGAGAGGATTACCCCAAAAATCCCTGGGAACAATTTAAAAAAAGATATCTCGGTATCGAAAACAATAGGGGGTTGTATTGGCGAGATCCAACGGTGAACAGCTGTCCAAAAGAAAAACCGCCTGGAAGTTCGAGGACCTTTAGTACCGTACCCTACCCCCGAACCAGCAGCCTTTGCACCAAGCAAGACCGCCCTTGTCTTTTCTCCATTCGCCTCCTTCTTTGCTTTGTTCCAATATAGTCTAAGGCAAAGCAAAAGTGGGTTCGTATGCCTACTTTACCTAATTGATGAAAGGGAACGAACTTAGTTTCGTTTCCAGGTTTATGGATTGGATTCAGTCAGCGTCACGACATAATCAAACAAAAGGAAGGAGTGACGCTTTGGTTACCGACAAACGCTTCCAAAGGCGACCCTCTCGAGTTTCCTAGATTAAAGTAGCCTTTCTTTTGTCGCCCTACCAAACAAAAGAAGTAACTATCAAAAAGCTCTCCCTACTGAAGTACCAAAGGTGCGCTCTGCCCGGTGACTCAGAAAGAAATGGGTTTGCGCTTTGAAGTGATGAGGTCGCAAAGAGGGAAGTAGGGCTCCTATTGACTAAAGGTTGGTTCTTCGGTTTCCTTTAGAATGAAAGTAGCTATGATTCCCCTACTACTTATACTGACTTTGTTTGATTAAAAAGGCGAACCCTAACTAGTTGTATGGGGTGGGGTGCTTGTGGTAAGCTGCCTTGGATATGAGTCTGAGGAATTCCTAAAGGCATAGTCCGGTATTTGACGAAAATCTTTCTATCAATAGATAGGATTTAGTGTTCGATATAGGGGATAGGATCCATCTTCTCTCTCTCTTACTTAGTTAGGTTTCTTTTTTTTTTCCAGTGCAACACAGGAAAACGCCCTCTTTTTTTCATCCCTGCAGCTTTCCAGATTATGTATTGAACGTATGGCGTAGCTAGGATATGAAAATAATGTTTGAGCCTAGCCTATCCTATGTTCAAACCAACCAAACCCCCCTCCCATTTGAATAAGGCTGGAAAGAATGCCTGCCAAGTTCAGATAAGGGAATGCTTACCCCAACCATTAAAGGAAACACTCGACGAAGGGAGGGAGATGCGGCGGGGGAAGGAAAACGCTTTCGGAGATCGATCTTTTTTTTCTTTTTCATCGAAAACGAAGAAGGCCGAGGATGGCCTACGGTGCGTGTTATCTAAAGGGAACACGCTTTTTCGACCTCGGTGGTATGATTGATTTCATTGTCGGGCCCTCTCCTTGTTCCGCCTGCAGGCCTATTGGGATAGCAGCCTTCGTTGCCTGCCCTTTATATCTCGTTCTGAGAAAGCGCTGGCAACAACAGAAAGGAAGGGGTCCATATAGTGCATCCGCCCCCTTCTTAGTCAATGGGGCAGCAGGTTCGGCATCTACTAAAAAATACAGAATCCACTTGAGATAACCACGCCTCTGCTAGGCAGCGTGTGGAATGGCCAAGAGCGAACCTTTTTGGATATATAATCCAAGTGGAGAGTGGAGTTACGGGAACAACCGTCTGATGGAAAACTACTTTCATGTTCGGTTCAGATAGCACTTTATTTTTCGTCGAGAATTCTTCGTTCCCTTTCGTGTTAATTCCCCAGCGACGAATTCAACACTTTTTGGGACCTATCTATTCCATCTCTCAAGCCCCAAAGAAAACCCCCTCCCCTTCGGACTCCATATCTCTTTTGACTCTATATATGTGGGCACCTGATATCTATGAGGGTTCACCCACCCCGGTTACAACATTCCTTTATATTGCGCCTAAAATTTCTATTTTTGCTAATATTTCACGTGTTTCTATTTATGGTTCCTATGGAGCTACATTGCAACAAATCTTCTGTTTCTGCAACATTGCTTCTATAATTTTAGGAGCACTGGCCACCATAGCCCAAACGAAAGTAAAAAGACCTCTAGCTCATAGTTCAATTGGACATGTAGGTTATATTCGTACTGGGTTCTCATGTGGAACCATAGAAGGAACTCAATCACTAATAATTGGTATCTTTATTTATGCATTAATGACGATAGATGCATTCGCCATAGTTTTAGCATTACGGCAAACCCGTGTCAAATATATAGCAGATTTGGGCGCTCTAGCCAAAACAAATCCTATTTCGGCTATAACCTTCTCCATTACTATGTTCTCATACGTAGGAATACCCCCGTTAGCCGGCTTTTGTAGCAAATTCTATTTGTTCTTCGCCGCTTTGGGTTGTGGGGCTTACTTCCAAGCCCCAGTGGGAGTAGTGACTAGCGTTATAGGTTGTTGGGCGGCCGGAAGGTTGCCACGAGTCAGTCAGTTTGGGGGACCGAAGGCAGTTCTCCGTGCATCGGACACGTAGCTTACTGAATCAGTTGCGACACCGATGGGAATGCATGCTACGAAAGATAGGGTCGAGTCTGAAACATCAATCGTCTACTCAATATCCTTGTAAGAGTCCACAATCACTACACGAGATGAACCTTGGTTTGGTGAATTGAAGTTTGCCTTAGGTGTAAAAATAAGGACTCCTAGTTACTGCGCGCGATCGTATACTGAGGTGCTCCCCGCTGGTTGTTGGAACGACGCGAGCCGGGCCTCCATTCAGAAAGATGAAGGGTCCAAACAAAAGTAAAAATAGGGGGTTACAAATTCCCCATCTCATTGGGGGCGGAAAACGAATCGACATCTCGATGTGATACAACCTTTTCTATTTTTGTTGGGAAAGAACGGTGAAGTCCATCCAAACCGTCCAATGAAGAATAAGAGGAGAGCAAAGCGCCAATGGCGCGCGAAGCGCATGCGAAAGGGGCACGGAGATAAAAAATAAGTGTGGAGGATAAGAAGCCGAGCTCATTCCCTTCGCTTCCTGGGCCCAAAGTAGTGCAGTCTTTCCTGGCCAAATTAAGGATTGGGGGCTTCTTGCTACGCTACTTAAAGAAATCCATTTTTTTAGTCATATATATTAATAGAAAGATAGATCCATCCATCTATCCTATCCTATTTTTATTTTGATATCTAAAAAAGAATCGATTTCATTCAACGTTTGATTCAAAGAACTGCGCTTAGCCCCCCCCCCCCCCCCCCCGCTCATGAAACGGCTCTGCTGCAATGGATGGCAGAGGGTTCGTAGTACCCAAAGAACTGGAGTGGTCTAGTAGCCGGGAAGGGGCCTAGAAGTGCCAACTACTACACCGCACTACACTCGGCTCTACACATTTACAGAGCTAACCCCTGTCCAGTCCCTGGCAAAGTGAAGGGGGCTTCCATCCTTATTCCCTATCCCCTCGCCCAGGCTAACGGGGCCTTACTTATTCAGGGGGGAGAGTGGAGCCCCGAGAAGCACTATTGAGAGGAAGATTCTTGGCCCCTCCTAACTCTCTACAGGGTTCCAAACCTTTCTTCAACATAGGTGACAATGAGCGGGGCAAAGATGGAAGAGATCGAACACGATAATAAGAAGCAAGCTCGCCTTCCTTTTTTATCATTTTGATAGAGAGGGATGGAGAAAGTGGATAAAACAGACTCGCATTTCCCAGTCGAAAAGATGGGTTCCTTTTTCGTCTTGCATTTCTCATCGCGGAAAAATAATAATATTTAAAACGTTCCCAACCCACCAACCCTTTCCTTCGTAGAGCCGTGTATTGTAATCCGAACCTGCCCGGAGCGAGTCTTCCGTAGAGGCAAGTTAAGTTGGTGAGTTTTATGATGGGCAACTATCTCCTGCGGTTCGGAGAGGACTCAACTGTTAGTTAGTACCCCCTTTCGGAGTGGACCTTTCACTCTATTTTATTATATACGCTTAGCAGAAAGAATGTTTTTTGATACACCTAGGACATGGATTTTATATGAACCAATGGATCGTGACAAGTCGTTACTACTAGCAATGACTTCGTCTTTCATTACTTCATCCTTTCCATATCCCTCTCCCTTGTTCTCAGTTACTCATCAAATGGCACTCAGTTTATATCTTTAAGTTCGATCATTGATAAGGTTCAAAGAAAGGGTGGGCCATAGTGTCTATATGGGAACTGGCCGTAAATTCCTTTTCTGGTGTAGATCCCCTCCCTTATGAATAAGTTCCCCGGGTACAAGGAATGAGTGCTCCTAATGTCTTTTCGGTGTAGATCGTCTGAGACCTTTTCAAGTATCTTCGGTATGGATTCCGTGCAGGGATTCCTGCTTGTGCTCTTTCTTTGTGGCATTATCGGGCTTAAAGACCAGGCACTCTATATGTGTTTCGGTGTTGATCTGAGCACTCGTGTAACTACTAATAAAGCTCGAGGGACCTTTATTTCGGCTACCGGTTTTACTTATCTTGGTCAGGTCTAAGGGTAAGCCTTTTTCTTACTCTTCAACTCCCTTCCTTTTTTCTATTGGAGTGCAAACCGGGGTTGTGAGCGAGCAATGAATAAGGCATCCTTCGTTCCAGCGGTAGAGTCCTTCGGATGTTGAATGGTCTCGTTCCATTCCTGTGTATAAAGTGTCGCTACTGCGAAAATAAGGTGCCGACAAAATAGAAGAGTTGCCACCTTTCGTTATTTATCCCTCAGAACGGGAAAGGAAACGATCGGAAAAACCTGACGAAAAGGTATAAGACAAGGTCATCATAACCATTGTCTGGGTTCGGGAGTCGGTTACGCAAGGGGAAGGTATTAGCACCCCTCACGTCCATCGTACTCGATGGGATCCACGCTTGTTGTGTTTACTGGACGGGTTTGT